GATGGAGGGCTCGGGTTCCGAAAGGCTCATGAACTTAATCTAGATTTCCTAGCCAAGCTAGTTTGGGCTTTTGTGAAAAAACCGGATGAATTGTGGGTGCAGGTCTTGCAGGCTAAGTACTTCAAGAAGATTAATGGTGACCTTGTAGCAAAATCAATGGCCCGAGCCTCAACCCTATGGCGAGGAATGCGTAAAGCGTGGCCTATCATGGAGGTGCGCACTCTTATGAGTTTGAAGGATGGAAGGTCCACGAATTTCTGGACGGACCAATGGGTGGGAGCAAGCATCGTCCTACTCGACCACCTTAGAGAAGACAGCCTGCCTCTATAACCCAATACCCTCGTCGCCACCTTTGTTGATAACGGTACGTGGAACATGGACTCTCTCTCGCATTATTTTCCAGACGAATTGTTATTACGATTTGCGGGTGTACAACCTTCTGTTGAGGGCACGGGAGAAGATGTGCCCATCGTGGGGACCCAAAATCAATGGCCAGTTTAGTATTGGGTCGGCCTTTGCGTTAGCTGTGGAGCATGTGGAGGGACACGACGAAACAAAATGGTGCACAATACGGAGCTGGAAGGGCCCTGAACGCGTCTGTCATTTCATGTGCCTTGCGAAAAGGGAAAGGCTCTTCACCAACTGCGAGAGAGGTCGAAGAAAGCGGACGACCCTCACCCGATGCGGAGCTTGCAATACGGAGGAAGAAAGAGTCCTGCATGCGTTGTGGGACTGTAATTTTGTCATGTTAACTTGGATGCAACTTATCCCACCTTCTGAATACCACAACTTCTTCGAAGCTAACTTATAGGATTGGATCGAGCACAATTTGAAGCATGAGCACATTGGCCTATATTTTGGCCTTACCTGCTGGTCTATTTGGAAGACCAGAAATGATTATGTCTTCGCTGGCAAGATCATATCGATTGAAACCTTTCTGCAGGGTGTCCATGCATGGATAACTGTCGTGAGACAAGCCTTGGACAAGGATAGGCTCATTATTCAGCCTAATTCGCCCATGAGAACGGAGGTAGAGAGCTCTTGGAAGCCACCAGCTCCATAGTGGGTAACCCTCAACACTGACGGCTCCGTTCATACTGATACAGGTCACGCCGCAGCTGGTAGCCTGGTAAGAGATCATACAGGCATATGCCTCTTGGCATTTGCGATGAACCAGCGGCGGATCCAGGACATATGAGAGCACTGGGTCGTATTTGAATAGAATATTAGATACCATAAACAAAAACATATAATAATATAGTTTTCATTACAACGCCAATTGTACAAGAAGGTCTTTTAATTTAGCAAATTCATCAATAATATAATCTCCATCCATACTGATAATATACTCTTTTTCAAAGAAAATAGCTAAGTAATCAACGAGAAATTCATCGCTCATTTTGTTGCACAAATCAATGTTCATGTTCCATTGCTGAAAATATTCTCTTCATGGTAGTTGTTGAAACGGCTAGGTCAACACTAGACAAATCAACCGACAAATCAATTTGTATTATGTGTCCATCCCTATTTCCTCCAACTTCTCTAATAATTTTGCAAGAGAAGAAACTTCATCTTCCTCACATGAGTAGTGCATTCTCCAAAGAATGCATCTCATAGCCTTCAAAGTCTCGAGGCTAAACTCTTAAGCAAGTTTGTAAATATTTTCTTCATCAAAACACCAGAAAGAATAGTTAGAACGAATCTAGTGCCCCACTCAATTGAGGCAATCTAAATGATGACTTAGTAAGTTTGTAAATATTTTCTTAATCAAAAGAATGGAAAGAAAACCAGCTCGACGGGCTGGCAGAGAAATCCATTTTGGGTCTGCTCGTCTCCTCGTTCCTGTTTTGTTTTGGGGGGATTGGGAAATTTTTTGAATTTTGCAAGTAAGGGTGTGCTTTAGTTTAGAGTTTTTTATTTTATTTTAATGAAACTTTACACTTTTAGGTTTTATGTAATTTTTCAAATAAAATCATTGGAGCTATAGAAAATTTAGTATAAATTTAGAGTAATGGTTTGGATATGTTCATCTGAACCATTTTTCTAGTTACACAAAATCCTATTATCAAATAAAACTAGACATAATTTTAAATAGCACTGGGCCAAATACCTAAATCGAAAAATTTTATAAGCACTAAATTAACTCTGGATCCGGAGGAGGGCTGGGCCGGGGCCTGGGTTGGCCCAGCCCTGGATCCGCCAATGCGATGAACCTGGATATTTGCTATATTACCCGGGCAGAATTGAGGGGCACGGTGGAAGAACTTCGGTTGGCCTAGGATGCTAGTTTTAGACGAGTTAGACTAGAACTGGACTCTGCATGTGTTTGTCAGCTATTGCAGAGCACGGATTCTAGAGATCATCACCATGCAACCATTCTGGGTAGAGCAATCGAGCTGCTTCATAGAGATTGGGATGTCACCATAACCCATATCTACAGGGAGGATAACAAGTGTGCGGATTACCTGACGAATTGTGGCCATATAGGACCTTTGGGGAGCCATATGTTTCATTTGTCCGATCATGTGCGTTGTAACTTATCTTGGTACGATATTCAGTGAATCTCCGAATCCCGTGTGGTTTTGGATAAAAGGTAGGGTGCAATTGCATCTAGTTGATAAAAAAATTAAAGGAGAAGTTGTTCTGCTGTAATGGGTTGCTAACCGGTAACGGATTAGTCAGTTATGACCGGTTTCCTCTTGGTAATGGTAGCTTATTGCAACTTGGCAATAGTCGGTATACCGATAATTGGGTTACCGATTATCGACCAATTACCACCCCCGAGTTTAAGCATTTCCGAAACTTTACTCGATATAATTTCAAAAAATTCATTCAAGGACGACCATTGTATATAAAGATATATTTATTCGTTCAAATGTGCATCAAATAGTTGTGCTTTTAAATCAACCAAATAACATAAATTAAAATTTAAAACTCCATAACTAGATTATAATACGTTGAATTTACAATGAATGCTTCAATAACTACTTTATAATACGTACAATTTACAATGCATGCATCGAATATATTCAAAATCGAGGGTGTACCATCCATTTCCGTTTTACCGCTACAAAGTTCAAGGTAAATCTATTAGAAAAATTAAATATCCTCGACAAATTGAACATGTTCAATATATCATATTATATAAGTAAGTTGGTCGTTCTAGCATAGTCTTCTTTTTTTTTTTTGTAATATATAGATTCTAGCACAGTCTTTTCACTCCATGATGATGGTATATAATATATATTGAGAGGCTTATCCATGCCCTCCCCGCAGCGACTTGCTCCCAAAAGCATACCCTGACAATTAATTTTTTTTTTTTTATGAATGTGAAACTTTATTAGAAAACGAACGGAGAAAATACAACAAGTAGAACACCCTGAAAATTAATTAGAAAACAAAACACAATTAATTATGCCCTATACACTACTCGTTAATGACTCGTCGCAACTATGTATTGTGCACTAATAATGACAGCTAAAATTAAATCCGGATATCATCATTACAAATTAAAATAACTAAAATTAATAAAAATTATGAGAGAAATCACAGATACAAAAAAAATTCTACAAAAATCCATGTCATACTATCACTCTAATACGATCATATAAGGGAATGATATCGATCTTTAGTAGTAATACAATCTAATGTTCCAAATTAATAATAATAATAATAATAGTAGTAGTATTAATAACCGAGATAATGACAATGGATATGAAGCCAGAAATCTGAACCCGAGAATTAATGTCAAAGAACCTAACCTCGAAAGATTTGAACCATAATAAATAGATGGGAGTGAAATTCTTGCTAATTAATCTATTTCTCAGTTTTGTTAGAAAGTTTACTATGGGATTTCTTGTAGAGGCGTCGGGCGATGGTGAAAGGAGGCGGCGGTTGATTGTGAAGTTGCGGTTCGGCGGCGGAGTGACCTGGCGGCGGGGGAACAGGTGGGCTGGCCGTGGGACTTTGGAGAAGAGAGGTAGGCTGAGCTCCCGTGAAAAGTATCTGGAAAACCAGTAAAAGCGGCAGAACCTTGTTCATGATTAAAGAAAATAGTACGATCTTGGTCTGAAGACTCCATCTCCATGGCTTAAAATACTCTGAGGTTTCGTTGCCACAACCCACAAATGATGAAGTTGGGAGCAGAGCAATAGCTAAGATGTAGGCATTGACGGAGACCCGCGTGTAAGGTGGTTTTAATGTTCAGTGGGTTGGCCAAGTGACACCAAGTTATATATTGGATTCCATCTATATATTAATCTTCTTCCCTATGAATTATAGTCTCATGAAGAATTGCTAATTCTTGTTGTTATATATTATGATATGATAATATTAATATCATATCAATATTCGTTATGAATGAATGATGGGGATTCCATTGATATAAAACAAATTCCATTAATTCACCCATGCATAGGGATGGCAAATTACCCACCCATGGGTAATTATACCTAAATCCAAGTAGACCCATTGATAATGGGTTGGGTATGGGTGAAGTGCATATGGATTTGGAGGTTTATAGATGGGTTTGGGGCTTCCATAATCTAAATGGGTATGGGTTGGATATGGATATCCATTTACTTTAGGGTGTTTTGACTACATATGCAAAAATTGGACCTATTTGTAAAACTTGAAAATTTTAGGTACCAAAATGTAAGGCCAAAAAAATTTAGGTACCAAAACGTAATTTTCCATCGATATTTTGAGGACTTATATGCAAAAAAAAAAATAGTACTAAATATGCATATCTATTAAGTTTGGGTACCAAACTGTAATTGGTATTTGGGCATGGATACAAACCCAAATCCATTTGATATAAACTCAACTCAGCCCAAAGTAAATGGGTATGGGTACAAACCCATCAAACTCTACCCATATCCATCTATTTGGATTTCATACTCAACCCAATTGGGTTGAATAGTAAGAAACCCATGGGTATGAGCAAAGTTGACATCCCTACCCATGCATAGTAGATTTGTAGATTAGAAATAGTGTGGCTTAATCATTCTGTTTATTTATTTTATGTACAGTTTTTTTTGGTTATTTCAACAGTTAAACATGTATATATATATTGTAATAATGTAAACATATATATATTGTTATTTCACGCAGCTTCCATTGAAAAGTAGTTTCCTACCAAACAACTGAACAAGTGAAACCAAAGTTTGGAGCTTTCCAGTTACCAACATACGAAGAAATAGAGAAAGAAAGGAGAATCGACATCTTACAAGGCAATCAGAAACAGAAGAGATATGGAAGAGCGAAACAAATCATGCACCAAAAGTATAGTTCATGGCATCATTTCAAAGTTGTTGATCATTCCCATACTGCCGTCCATTGTTTCTCGAGGAAATCCCCCTCTCCATTGTAATTTTGATCTTTCAATCAAAACACAACAGACTAGCCTGTCTTATCTACATCCTGATCACAGCTAAGCCACAGTAAGTTTTTACTCGTTCCAAAATGCCAAACCTAACAACAAAGAGATGATTGATTCATCAATTTTGATTCCAAGCAACAAAGACAGTAACGAAAAGTAGCAGACAACCATCCATCTCGTCCCGTCCTCAGATTCAGGAGAGAAGATCCAATGAACTAGTTCTTCCCAGTGGCCTTCATCTCCAACTCGTGGAGGTTCAGCAGCAAATCGTTCGAGGCAAGGAAGATCTTGTTCGACGAATGGGACATTGTCTGTGCAATCTCTCTGGAAGCTTCAATCTTCCTCAGGGTGATGAAAGCAGGGTTGTTTGCAATTGCTTGTCCGATCAGCTGAGCACTCTTGGCTTCACCCTGTTGGCATAAAGAGTTGGGAATTAAGACCATGGCACGTCAAATAACTGAGAACTGTTGGTACAATCAAGAATAAGGATGATTTACCAACCTCTGCTCTGATAATGGCACTCCTCTTGTCCTGTTCAGCCTTCTCCACAATGAACTTAGCCCTCTCTGCCTCCTGAGCAGCCACTTGTTTCGCCTCAATTGCAGCAGTGAACTCTTTCCCAAAAGTCAGACTGGTTATGGACACATCGTCCAGTGCAATGTTGAAATGCTTTGCCCGCTCTGTCATGATGCTCCTTATTTCCCTGCTAACAGCCTGACATAAAGAGCCACAAATAGACATGACTCAGCACAAACACAATTGAGCTACCAGTTAGAACCTATTCAAACAAAACAAAGCATAAAACTGTTGTTGGCACATTTAATATCGTGTAATCCTTGGGGAAAAGAAAGATCAGACATACAATAAAGGACAACAATCACATGAAGGGGATAAACTACAAGAAGAAAGAACACCATGTGAACAACAATAAAATTAAGGTCACCCTACCTCTCTCTGGGTGATGAGCTGGCTGGCATTGTACCGCGCAACCACCGCTTTCAGAGTCTCATGAATGATATTAGGCAGCACTCTCTCATTATAATTGGTACCAAGGCTCCTAAAGATTGTGGGCAACTCTTCCGCGACCGGACGGGTAAGGACTCGAAGGCCAATCTTGACCTGTCAAGGAAATTCAAGACACAGAATGGAACTTAAATTTCAATAGCAGAAGACAAACCGTGCAAACAGATTCACCAAACCAAAAACTGGCCTTGATTTGAAAAATGATTGAAATGCTCTGGTTTGCAGCAGTCAATGTTTGCTCCTGAGCAACAATGATATCTATATACCAGATCTAATCACTGTAAGCACAAAGTAATTTCAGATCTCCTACGCACACATCACATTATATCCAACTTTAACATAGCTCACAGACTTCAACTCCTCATAGATTGTTAATTCCAACTTTTAACAATGAGGATGTATGACTCAGCAGAAATTATAGCCCACCCACCGTATAGTTCAAAAACTTGTATGTAATGGCAACATAAAAGGAAACATAACTAACAGAAGCAAGAACGACAATCCAAAAGGCACATGCTTGTCATCTGGTGGGTTTTCATGACAGCAACTACATATTTTCCTAGCATCTAGATAAATCCACCGAGACCAATCAAGCAGCATAAAGATGCAACTCCAGCTGACAAACACGACCATCTCCGCAACAACTTACAGCCATGGGAGATGATCACAAAGGCGTGTTTGGCATAAGGGAAGTGAAGCATCATACAAAGCCACAAATGAACCAACGCCATATGGTGGTGCAGAAAACATGCATCAGAAGTTCCTAGGATGAGTTTAGGATCCAGCATAACAACCATGGGAAACAAACCAGAAATAGGCCAATGCAAAAACTGAATAATTACAGCAAACTTAAACATTAGACAACAATGCAGTATTCATACTAGTTACGTTTCCCGACTTTGTCATCAAGAACAAAACAAACCAATCACCAGAGAATCCGCCATAACATAGAAGGCAGCAAACACAGCAGATAAATTGAATTGAGTGTATGAGCAAACATCACTGCCCAATAAAAACAATTCCAGATCCTAAACACAGACTAAAGAGGGAGCGAGCAAAGCTTACCATTTGAAGATCACGGCTTCCAGATGTACTCTCCACAAGATGAGGGCGAGCCCTGACGTCATAGATAATCGGGACTTCAAACCACGGGAAGATAAAGTGGGTTCCTTCTGGGAAAGTCTGCTCGACAGCGGCAAGTGAGAGTAAGAAACCGGAACAAAAAAAGGGGGGAATATCGCAACTTAGGGTAAATTAATTCGTCCAAAACGGGAACAATCAAATTAAAGAAGTTAGAGACACTGAATCACAAACCCTATTCTTGATGCCGGTAATCCGGTTGAAGACGATGGCACGGTGGCCACCTTCAACATTGTAGAGGGAGTTCGCAGCGGCGTAAACGGCAATTCCAGCGGCGACTCCAAACTTCACCAGCGCAGATCCCACTTGGGCGGAAGGAACCCTGGGGTTGTTCTTCGAAGCCATTACTGAAACAGCAGAAAAGAGAGAGTCAAAAAATCGTGGACGCAGAGATCGCTCCAACTCTCCGAATCCACAGAAAACGAAGACGAGTAGAGAACAAGGAGGAGGAAAGGGAGGGAGTATATTCCGGTAAGCGACGGCGAAGCAAATGGACGAACCTCAACTGAAAGCGGTGAAAGCGGCGGAGACGGGAGAGAGGTGAATTGCCAGGCGAGATTTGGGGTCAAGAGGAGACGATCGTTGCAGCAGCAAGCAGCTCACTTGCGTCTCTTCTTAGGGCTTTTAGGGTTTTAGGTCTGGCCCGACTTGGATAATAAGTCAGTTTAATATTTTATATTTTGCAATTTTATATTTTTTTCCCGTAAGAAATTGATTATTATTATTTTATGATGGAAATTGATTAAAGAAAATATAAAATTGGGAAAAACAAAAAATTAGAAAATAAATGGAGATGCAGGGAATCGATCCCCGTACCTCTCGCATGCTAAGCGAGCGCTCTACCATCTGAGCTACATCCCCCTATGTTGAAATCTTTGATCTTTAATAATAATAAATAAATAAATAAGTAACGGTTCCTAACTTCTCCACTCAACCTCATCCAACTAGGGGTGTTCAAACGGATTGGTTACCGTGGTAACCATATTAACTGGTAGTATTCGGTTAATTTGGTTTGATTAATTTGGATAATTGGTTTGGTTTGGTTAAACAATTTAGCTTATTTGGTTTAGGTAGTTTGGTTTCAAAGCTGCTAACCAATGAAACCAATTAACCAATTAATGATACATCTAATATACAAAATTATTTATATTTCCATGCAACCAACCAAACCAAACTTTCGTGATTCCCTATTTTATTTCCATGTGCACAATAAACCAAAGCATTATGGGTCAAAAATTAAATAGGTCTGCCTATTTACTATACCAAAACATATTGGACAGCTACTAGACTTTAGAATTACGTACAATTCCATGACAGCCACCTCAAACTATGTATAGTTTAAGTGTTTTGTAGGAGAGCTTTAACTTCCCGATGAGCGATGAGTGGTATTGTATGTATTTAATATTTATGAATCATGGATGGTTAGTCATATCATTATTGCTTATATATAATGATAGTTTATAATATTAATAACATATGGTTAAGTTTTATTCATTACCAGGATAATTGTTTTCATGTAATGTTATGTTATTTGGTTAATTCGATCATCCGATTAACCAAATCAATTAAACTTTGGTTTTGTTAATTTGGTTTTCATGTTAATTTGGACGGTTTGGTTAAGATATTTATTTCATGGTTAATAAAATTTAGGCTTAATTGGTGTGGTTATTACCATAGTAACCATTTGAACACCCCTACATCCAACCAGTCTTTTCATCAACTTGTATGCAGTACAGAGAAACCATATCTGCATCATATTTATCAAACTTTTCACACCCATTTGGAACTATTGCTGAATCAGGGTTTCATTTACCAAAAAAATCAATCCACAAATGTCAATAATCTCCCAAAACAATGGCCTACTTTCGACCAGTAAAGAATGAACGACAAGCTCGAGTTATATAAACAACAGTGAAAACAAATAATCAACATGTACATGAGAGTAACTTGAAGAAGCAAACTTCACAAAAGAAGGTGCTTTATGAGCTAACTACAACATGAACTTGGGGACAAGGCGAGGTCTGGATCCTGACATCAAAAGTTGATGATCATAATTCATAACTCAAGAGGTAGCAAGAAAAGGAGAAGCAGCAGTTAAGGATATCACTTATACCCAGCGGCGGATCCAGGATATAAAAGAGCATTGGGCCGCATTTGAATAGAATATTATATACCATAAACAAAAATATATAATAATATAGTTTTCATTACAATTGTCAATTGTACAAGAAAGTCTTTTAATTTAGCAAATTCATCAATAATATAATCTCCATTCATACTTATAATATACTCTTTTCAAAGAAAATAGCTAAGTAATCAACGTGAAATTCATCACTCATTTTGTTGCACAAATCAATGTTCATGTTCCATTGCTGAAAATGTTCTCTCCATGGTAGTTGTTGAAAAGGCTAGGTCAACACTAGACAAATCAACCGAGAAATCAATTCGTATTATGTGTCCATCCCTGTTTCCTCCAGCTTCTCTAATTATTTTGCAAGAGAAGAAACTTCATCTTCCTCACATGAGTAGTGCATTCTCCAAAGAATGCATCTCATAGCATTCAAAGTCTCGAGGCTAAACTCTCGAGCAAGTTTGTAAATATTTTCTTCATCAAAACACCAGAAAGAACGGTTAGAATCCCCACTCAATTGAGGCAATCTAAATGATGACTCATGAAGTTTGTAAATATTTTCATAATCAAAAGAATGGAAAGAAAACTAGCTCGACGGGTTGGCGGAGAAATCCATTTTGGGTATGCTCGTCTCCTCGTTCTTGTTTTGTTTTGGGGAGATTGGGAAATTTTTTGAATTTTTCAAGGAAGGGTGTGCTTTAGTTTAGAGTTTTTATTTTTTATTTTAATGAAACTTACACTTTTAGGTTTTCATGTCTTTTTTCAAATAAAGTCATTAGGGCTATAGAAAATTTAGTATAAATTTAGAGTAATGATTTGGATATGTTCATCTGAACCATTTTTCTAGTTACACAAAATCCTAGGCTATTATCAAATAAAACTAGACAGAAATTTAAATAGTATTGGGCCAAATACCTAAATCGAAAAATTTTATAAGCACTAAACTAACTCTGGATCCGCATGAGGGCTGGGCCGGGGCCTGGGTTGGCCCAGCCCTGGATCCGCCACTGCTTATACCTGACAAAGCAAGATCTCAACCTCCTCCGACGGTTCGAATCATCCACTTGTAGCAAATACAGAGAAACCATATGTGGATCACATTATTCAAAAGTTTCGTATTCGTGACCATTGCAGAATGCAAGTTTTCATTCATCAAAGAATCAATCTACCCAAATGTCAATAGTCTCTCAAAACAATGGCCTACATTGAACTAGTAAATAATGATTGCCAAGCTTCATACAAACAAAAGGGGGGTAAAAAAAGAAACAAAGAATTACCATATACATATAGTAACTTGAAGAAGCAAACTTCACAGAAGAAAGTGCTTCTACGTTTTATTTCGTTAAAGGATGTGCTATGCTAAGCTATGCTAGAAGGGGCTGACTTTGCGAGCTAACTGCAACATGCACTCGGGAACAAGGCGACGCCTTGGAGGGGCCACCTTGTCTTTGGCTTCGGCCTCTTGGTCACCGGCGTGAACTATGGATACTAAATCCTCGAACATTTGATCTTTGCCACCTCTCATTGGATCCTGACATTAAAAGTTGATGATGAATCATTACTCAAGAGGTGGCAAGAAAAGGAGCAGCAGCTAGGGAGATGACATCATACCTGAAGAAACAAATCTGTGTGGGTCTTGCCTTCGTATGTAATTGCCTCAGCCCTGACTCCACTCCCTTGAGCGTTTCAGCAAAACTAGTGCTGCAGCAGATTGAATTTTTTAGTATATATTTATACGAGCCACAATGATTTGTTCATCATATCAAGGGTGTAGGTAAGATTCTCACCTGGCCTCAGAGGGGATTGAATAATCTGCGGTGCCATGGAAAAGAACGATTGGAGGCAGGAGAGATATTGCATTTTTCAAGCTTGGATCCTGGGCTAGTACTTCAGGGGAAAACCGTCTTAAAGACTCTTCACCTTCCATTATGCTGCACTAGGTCAGCCCATGGCCGAATCAAAATATGATCAAGCCAAAATTTTGCAGTTGCCTACAGGGTGCAAAAGAGAACTACATGTACCTTAAAAATATGGATCGATACAGACCCCGGCTGTGGAAGTAATCTACCAGGTTGAACAAGTTATACCTGTTTTGCAGCGGTTATCAGTATACATGAGTAAGAAAGGATCAAATTAAGTTTACCTCAAATTTGTTTACTTCATACCCTCCTGATAAACCAAAGTATGCCTTTATCTGAGAAACACTCCAAGAAACATTCTCTCCTTCAACAACTTCTTTAATTGCTTGCTCAACAAGGGCACAGCAAGCTATGTGCGCTCCAGCTGATTGCCCCATTAAATAAATCCTACACCAATTGTAACATTAGGAGATGAATGACCAGGAAGTTGAGAAAGTGAAACAAAGAAGAAAATGCAAGTTTGCAATATTACCTATTAGGATCACCTCCATAGTCCGCTATCTTTTCGCATACAAATGAGATACCTTGACATGCATCCTGCACCATGTTACTCATTGTTCCTTGTGGGAAGTTCCTGTAACCATGAACAAGAGAGTTCGTATGTGGATGAGTAGCCATTCATATGAAATGCTCACTCTTTGCAAGGAGTGTGGAGGAGAAGCATCAGAAGCATTTTGATACTTCTACAAGGCTCCTAAAGAAAGATACCAAACAATCCTTGTTACCTATAATCTATGCAAGCCACTATAATGTCTCTTTCCGATAATTGCCATCCTAGCAGGGAACCCCAAGCTTTGTACCTGCACCAGCAATACCAGAGTTTCTCAAAGCATTCTCTAAGGGGGCATAGATGATGCAAGAAAATATAACTCAGTAAATGATTTGATGAGAATCAATGACAACCGCAGAGGGGTTCAGACATTACTCACCCAATTATCCAGGCTCCACCAGTTACAAACGCAACAACCGGCTTTGGTCCATCGCTATTCTTCGGTATATACAGATCGATCCTGCATGAAATATCATACATTACTCTTTGCTGCAGATTATGTCAGCAACATTATGCATGAGCATCAATCAACGCGGGGGGGGGGGCTACCTATTTCGTGGTTGATCGCCATAAACTACACTTCTGATCACTTGCTTGGAGAAGAAATAATAATATCCAACTGGCACACAAAGATAGAAGCTTTGATGCCGGATGGTAACTTAACATTAGTAGGAAAGCAGTGTGGGCATCACGAACCTTGAATGAAACCCGGCATAAGCATCAACGAGTAGAAACCAAGAGCAACAAATCTCATCACCCATCTATAGCCTACCCTGAATAAACAGAAATGCTCAGCAACCACAATGGTTTGCAGAAATGCCATTACGAAACAAAGCAGCACAAACCAAAAGAGGAAGAATCCCAAAAAAAAAAATGAGTACCCAAGATAGGTCAAGAGCTGCAAACTCAATCTGGTAAGCAGAAACGTCTCGGCCGCCGCATGACCCACTTCACGGCTCAACGACTGCTGCCGGCCGCTCCCTTCATCCCCCGCCCCACCACCACCACCACCACCACTATCTGAACAAACAATCGAGGAAAGCAGACACGTTTCACTAGCCGTCCGACGACGCCTCTTCTTCTTGCTGTGATCATAAAACTTGCCGAACCCTTCGCTACTGCTACTACCACTACTACTAGTACTACTTCTGGCAGTGGAAATACCTGAAAAACTAGAATTCCGCTACAGCAGAGGCTTCTTGTGGGATGTGGTAATCTCGTCGGAGGAAGAAATCAGGAGCCGGGTTGAAGGGTCGTCGATGACTAGGTTCATCACCATCTGATTAACACTCTCCTCTTCGTCTTCTTCTTTGATCGACAGCGAAGTCTCTGCAATTGGCGGCGAGGAGGAATTATGGTGGTGGATTGTGGTGACGGGGAGGATTTGGGACGACGGCATTATTGTATCGTGGTGGTGGTGAATGATCTGGCGGGGGGAGGGAAATGGGCAGTGGGAATCTCTTGTCTGGCGGGTGATTTGGTCGTTTGTGCTGATTGTGCAGTGAGAAACAAGTGAATTTTTTTTTTCTCGGCGGGGTGTTTGGTTGCTAGGAATCGATAGGAAACGGAGAGAAATTTTCTCGAGAATTTGTTCATGGCGGGTTGGGAATTTTCATCTTTGTTTTCCTGCGTTTCTCCGTTTACCCCGAATTGGAGACGAACCGGCAACCAACCAGATCTCACAGCCGGGAAGGTGGGGTAGTACGGTCAGAGTTTTGACGGATCGCTTCTCTTATCCAATGAGAGCTTACCACATGGCTCAATTTTGTTGGATTTTCTGGAGCATTGGCCTATTGGGTAAGTAAGGTATTATTACTTTTTTTTTTTTTTTTGAATTGCACTTAGGCCACTCGATTTATCAATATATTTCACTTATACCTCGAAAATTTCTTTCCTTTTTATTGGTCATCGACTTTACACTTTTATTTCATCACGCGTTACTGTCTTCCAATTTTGTTAAGTTTGTCCTACATCATGTCAATAGTCCTTGGGCTACATTTCCTAAGAAACCATGCAAAGAGGCTCTTTGTCTTATTAGTTTGATGATTTTTTGAGGGGGTAAATGCCAAATTTGGTCACTGGGATTACTAAAATGTGTCATGTTTAGTCACTGGAAAAAAAAACTAATATCAAGGATGGTCACTCGAATTAGTAAAACGGTCCATGTTTAGTCGCTCTCCGTTAGTCTCCATTAGTTTTTATTAACACCGTTGGTCAATTGCTTATGTGGCTAACAGAAGTGCTGACTCGTCATTTTTTAACCCACCACATCACCAAACTGACCCGCCATGTCACTCAACCCAATACAAACCCTAACCCAATCCAAACAAATCATGATTTTGACCCTTTCTGCCTCTCTCATCCTTCTCTGCCTAATCCACCTTCTGCTTCTCCCTCTCTTCCTCCATCAAAGAAACCATAATCAATGAACCCATAACTCAATTTGCCTCCTCCAACGTCGTTCCCGAGGTACCCAACTACCGCATCTGCTTCATGGAGCTATAGATCTCCTCCACAACGTTGCCAAAGGCAGTCATGGAGGGCAGAGGAAGCACGGCGGTCAGAGCCATAGTCAGCGGCGCTTCTGTTTCTCTCACTAAAATCAGAGCTCTGCTTTCCCCTTCTAATGGTAGTTTCTTAATCATAACCCATTTCTCAACTCCCCACCCACCAATACTCCCCCTTTAATCCGTAGTCAGTGGAAATGAAAACGAGGAGCGGGAGATCTGTAGGGATGGCAATGGGTCGGGTCGGGGACGGATAGTGCATATCCGTTACCCTACCCAAAGTAGTTCGGGTTTTACCCATACCCATACCCACATATGAAACGGGTAGAAAATTAAAACCATGCTCATACCCGTTCGGGTTTCGGGTATCCACGATTATCCATGGGTAATGATTTCTCTTCATAACTCCAACAAATATATTAACATTCACACGTATTCTCACATTACGCAAGAAGAAAAGTATGACAATAATTCACTAGAATGAAGAAAATGAATTAAAACAACACAATTTCATGAAAATATTATATTTATATGCTAAATATAAAATATGCTAGAGAAAAATAAAGACTATTTCTAGACAAAATACATATGTATGTGTATAATCGGGCGGATTCGGGTTGGATACTGAGAAACCCATGCCCACCCATTACCTGCAATATTCGGGTTCGGGTTTTACCCGTACCCACTAAATGTCCTTCGGGTTCGGGTTTCACCCTACCCGATTAGGCCGGGTTCGGGCGGATATCCACGATTACGGATATTTTTGCCATCTTTGGAGATCTGGTTTTGGTTGTAGACGATGCAGGCTCCTTTCTTTAAGAACTAAAAAATGCCTTGTTTCTGTCTGTGGATATGAGGTTGAAGCAACTGGCGCGAGCTGCACAAGAGGATGGGGAGAGGGTTGACATCAATGTGACGACTTGTACGATCGGATCTACCGGTGCTCGAGGTCGACACCGCAGGAGCTGGGTGGAATTTTGGTGGGAATGGGTTTTACTAGATCTTTGAAGATCCAGTTGATTCGTCGTCTTTTTCTTCCATTTCTCTACGAAGCTTAGGGATGCAGTGATTTGAGATATGCTCCTCTTCCTCACGGTTGTGGTTTCCTGGTTTCCTCGTCTCTCTGCTTCTTTTGGGCTGTCGCGTAGGTTTTCCGATATGGAAAAATGAAGACGGTGATGATTTTCTGTTGTTCACAAGTGGATTTGTGATTTGGGTGGTGTAAAGGAAATGGACAGATCTAGAGTTAGAGTTGAAGTTCTGCAGGTGGATTTGATGGAAGTTATGAATGGATTTGGGTTTTTTGGGTAAGAAAAATGGGAAAGAGAGAAGGGTGGTTCGCCATGGGTCATGGGTTAGGATATGGGTTGGGTTAGGGTTTTAATGACATGGCAGGTTGGAGGGGAAGAAGGCTTTCAAGAAGGGATTCGCTCCTACGGAGGAAATAAGGGACTCACTTGTCGTTCGCCTGCTACTTGGCGTTATTGGAATTGTCGTTACCAATGAGGCCCTATCGATTAGTATTACATAGAAGAAATCAATGCTAGACATCAAAAAGCGATTCAACGAAGCCGATTGACCACTTTCTCGAGGACCATTTTGTTTGCTATGTCAGCACTTAACGAACTTTATTAACGGAGTTGGACGAAGACCAACGGAGAGTGACCAAACGTGGACTGTTTTACTAATTCGAGTGACCAACATTGACATTAATTTTTTTCAGTTACTAAACGTGACACATTTTAGTAATCCCAGTGACCAAACATGGCATTTACCCTTTTTTGAGGAGTATTCTTTTGGCATGTATTTTTATTCCCAACATTAATTTCTGATAAGATAATGGTGAACAATCCATCCAGCGATATTTAATATATAAATGGCAAAAAAACGTAAATTCAAGAAAAATAGTTAACATTAAACTCATAAAATATTCAATTACTATTAGTTTCATTCTCACATTACCATTAGCACGCAATCGGCTGCCCATACCTGCATACCCGACCAAAAATATGTGCCGATGTGCGGCTGGCTAGCGTAGGACATTATTTGAACGGCCGCAAGTTGAGTTGGGCTAAATTATATTCCCAGCATAGTCCAAATACGTAAACGCCAATCACAGTACATGTGATTTGGGCGGACAGTTGGAATTCTGGTAATGCCAAATAGGTCGGCCCAAATTTGACTGGATAAATTAATATGTGGACATGCATCTCGAGCTCGTGTGCCCGATTTCTTATAGTAGCACGTTATAGTAGCGCCAGATATGCAAAAAGCAACGTAAGAATATACTTGTGGGTTCGCGGTTAATGAATCAAGTCGCTCATACAATACTCGACATTTGATACACGACTCGTTTTTAACAGCGGCGGATCCAGGATATATAATAGAGTATTGGACCGCATTTCATTAGAAAATTAGAAACCGTACAAAAATATAACAACCCTAGTTTTTTTTACAATATCAATTGTACACGACAGTTTTAAATTTAGCGAACTCATCAATAATGAAGTCTATATTCATACTAATAATACACTCTCTTTCGAATAAAATAATTAAGCAACCGGCAAGAAATTCATCTCTCAATTGTTGCACAAATTAGTTTTTCTCATGTTTCATTGTTGGAAATGTTCTCTCCATAGTAGCTGTTGAACGGACAACATCAACACTAGACAAATCAATCAACTAATCAATTTATATTGGGTGTCCATCCCTATTTCCACTAACCGCTCTAGTAATTTTTCAAGGGAACAAATCCGATATTTCTTTTAGTCTTTTGTGTTTTAAACTTTTAAAATTTTAGGTTTCAATGTGTTTTTTTATACCAAAATCATTGAGGATAGAATTTATAGACTAAATTTAAAGTAGTGATTTGAATATATTCATCTAAACCATTTTTATAGTTATACACAATCTTATTATAAAATACATTGGGCCGAATGTCTGAAATTGAAAATTTTATAAGGGCTATACTAGTTTCGGATCCAGAGGAGGGTTGGGTTGTGGCCGGGGGTGGCCACCTCATGGATCCGCCATTGGTTTTTAATTGAACCGGTTCGCGAACAACTTCGTCAATTAATGAGCAGAGTTCGAGCCATGACATGTTCAGCTCGATGGACTGACGAACAAGATCAAAAGACTTTAGAATGTGATTTTGAGTTGAGCTCGAGCTCAACTTTGAGCTACAATCGACATTGTATCAACTGAACTCGATTGTTTGCTCGTTAAACTCACTTGGCGAGGCGAGCTCGAGCTTCTTTTTTTTGTAAACGAGTCGAGCTCGAACGTGCCTAGTAAAATCTTGTGTTGAAATTCAGTTGAACTTGAGTTTAGAATTAATTTAACGAGCTGAATCCGTACCATGGCAAACCTCGGCTTGTATTATTAACAGCCCTAGCTACTTCTGTCTACTTTTATGGACAGGTTTAGGTCGGCAATTGGGCTATCTCAATCAACCCTGGGCCAAGCCCAGCTGAAGGAGAAGACATTTTGGGCTATCTCGATCAGGTCCAGTGCAGGACCACAGCGGCCCGCATCTGGTGGCGGGATGTTTTCGAGGGCTCCAACACTATCGAGCGTTGCAAGTCCAGCCACGTTGGCCGTTGCTTGCAATCTTCATCGTCGTTGATTCCATGGCACATCGTAGCAATTAAAACCGAAATATTAGCTTCGCTTCAAAGTTCAAATGCAAAGTGGCGATGGAAAATCGTGCTAATAGAAATGGAAACTAGCGTGGTTCCCGGCCAGTTGGCCGGAGGAAGGTGAGTTATGAAATTTGATAATGTAATAGGGTGTATAGCTTATTGTTGTATAGTTTTTTTGGAAACACGTAATAAAAATTATGAATTTTAGCAGGAAAGAAACATGAATGATGCAACGAATCAAAAATCGGCCTTATGAACCAAAATCAAGAACCTGTTACCTTGTGAAACAATATTGTTTCTGGAAATATGATGAGGTGGAGTAAGTTTTATAGAAACCGAATTCTAGAAAAATCGAATAAAAAATCGCATATCTCGTCAGTTTTCGGGAAATGAGCATCTCACAATCGTTGCTAGCTTTTACTCGGCCCGTTGGTCGATTAATTTGCTTTATAAAACTTTCATCTTGTCGTCATTGTGCTTTCTGGTTTTTGTCAGGCCATGATAAAATCTAAGAAAATCAAGAACAAACAACACGATTTGGGATAGGAACCGTCGTTGTCGTATCCCTAGAAAATGGTGGTAAACACGGACTCACCTGCCAAATTGGTTTGGGTTGAGATTTTTAT